TTATTATTTACATTATTTACCTATAATTACAATTGTAAAATTGGTTTCAAAAAACTGATGTGTTGTGTTGTATGAATCACTTCTGCATGTTTTCTTCATATCTCAGTTCTTAAATCAATGGTCAATCTTTTGTTTGGGGAACATATTCAATATTAACTTTTGCCTCAATAAACTCCTAATTTACTGATTATTAATAGTTAATAAGGTCATTGTAGTTGTTAAGTTTAGGTAATAAGAGATGTAGAAAATGGTCATGCAGAATAATGCATTATTATGCGCTTTATGATTAATAAACAACTAATATCATAGTAATATGCAAGACAATAAGCAAATAGTGAGAATTGGACCCTAAACTAAAGTTTTACCAAATGAATATTTCATTAATTGTATTTCATGAGGTAAGTTACCATGTTTTACCATAATACCATAATAAGAAACTGCATTATAACACTGCAATATAACTAACAGTTATTTTTGAGGTTCAGTTCAACAATACTCGAATCCCACATGGAAAACATCATCTGAACATAATTTGAAACTTCGGGCCGACAGATTTCGGAGAATCTCCTATTATTCGAGGGTTCTGAAGTTATGATTTATGAGGGACGAGAAACAACTTTCCTCACACACACATCAACGGATTAAACGATGGAATAATGACTCATAATGCAGAGAATGTTTGCAATAATCAGAGAACTGAAACTGGTGTTTAGAGAACACTTATCGCTGTGTGTGTGTGTGTGTGTGTGTGTGTCTGTACTGTAAAAAAATATTTTCAAGATTTGTTATCACAACATATTTTCTTTTGTCAAATCAACTTTATAATAATTTATTTAGTTGAGATAACTTATTATTTTGAGTTTCTGATGATTAAATTAATCTCCTTCATTGTATTAACTCACTTTTTCAAGTTCAATGAACTTAAAATTAAGGCAACCAGGTTACTTACTTTTTTAAGTTAAACCATCAATATTTTTTTACAGTGTGTGAGAGAGGAAATGAGTGTGTGATTGTGTGAGAGTGTGTGTGTGTGTGAGATATTCTCTCATAAACACTATTAATATCTTCAGTAATTGTTCTTCTCTGTCTTGATGTGAGAATGTTTCGATGTGTGTGACAGAAACACAGAGGAAGATCATCATGTTTCTGCAGTGTAACGAGTTCATCATTAAAACACTTGGATTTTAATCGGTTATTTGTTCGACTGAAACTCGATGCAACACAATTGTGGATGTTTGTTTGTCATTTAAAACTGATGGGACACTTTTGCAGCGAGACTGAAATATGAAGATGCTTTTAAGTGCAACGCAAACCCGTCCTGAGGCTGTTCGTCTGTTCTGACTCGATGAGTAACATTAGCTTTTCTTAATGCGTGATGCTATTAAAATAAAATTAGGTGAAAGATCAAATATGCTTGTTTTGAATAAGATTGCATTTTATTTATTGCATAAATATATTTTCATATCATTCAGATCCCTTTTAATTTGAATTCAAGATTTGTTCATTTTTTGTTTTTATTTTAATTATTTATTTTTAATTTAATGTATATATAAAGTTTTTATCACTTTTATTTCAGTTGTAGTTTTAGTTATATTTATACATCAAGTTAAAAATTAGAAGTTTTGCTTTTAGTTTTAGTTTTATTTTATTTAAAGCAACACGTTTTTTAGGCTTTTAGTTTTAGTTTCAGTTAACTACAATAACCCAGATATATATTATATATTTTTATATTAAAATGCAAAAAAAATACATGATTGTTGCAAATGTACGATTATTAAGCACATTAAACTCCACATAAACAGCATTTTGATTATTCATTATTCATGAATAATGAAGCATTTATGAGCTTATATTAATTAAGAGTCTGACTGCAGAATTATTATTTACTTATAATAAACTAGAGAGCAACAAGTTAAATAAAAATGGTGAATGACTTTACATTGATTGACAGCAGTTATACACTCATACACACATTAACTGTTCAGATGTGACTGATTCCCAACAGACTAAGAGACAACACAAGTGTTCACAACCTTAATGTATTTTAATCATTTTTACAGTGTGAAATAGTTGTGGAACAAACTGAGCGGGAACAGATCATGTGAAAAACAAAAACATACATCATGTGCGACGATGAGAAGATTCATAAGCCGAGAGAAAGAAACGAGAACATGATGAGCCGAAACAGGGGAAGAATAAGAGACGAATGCCAGAGAGATATCATCAGTGGATCAGAGGAGGAACGCATTATAAAAATTCAGATAAATATACAGTCATTTCATGGTTCATCATTTAACAAAACAAAACATGTCAAATCTGCAGCACTGAATCTCCTGATGTAAACTAATAAATAAAACCAACAGAAATCCTTCAAACATATATAGAAATGGCCAACGGTGACCAAACATATGGCATGAAAGAGGTATTTGTGTTCTGAATCTGAGATAATAAAGAATAGTGTGATGTGTGAGACGGAAATTAATTCACACTCAAGTGTACGTTTTCCCGTCCGGCCCGAAAGTGTCCTCGAGATTAAAGCACATCAATGAAAGTCCATTCCTTCCAGATTTATCGTCATTAATAGTGGATTATAAGAGCTAAAATGCTCTCAAGGTTTAGTTTGCAGAGACCGACTGCAACCAACAACGCTTAACACGCACATTATGAGTTCAAAATATTGATACAACAATATTGGGCAACACTTTACAGTCACATTAGTTAATGCATTAACTAAACTAACATGAACTAACAATGAGCAATACATCTTTATAGCATTTAGTAACCATAATTTTAGGTCATCAAAATGTTTATGTTCATGTTAGTTCACACTGCATTAATTCATGTTACCAAAATGACAAAATTTATTTCAATGTTTTAATTTGATTTGATATTTTATGTAAATAAATTACATTTATGCAGTAGTTATAATCCATTTATTCACGCTTTGAGCCATAAAGTCGTGTTGATATCTCAAAAAATGAGCTTTCAGTCAGATGTTGTTTTGGCCGCAGTACCGAACGCTTCCACTAGGAAATTCGTTTCCCATTAATGTTTCATTGCACTCATTTCTGACAATTTTTTTCGGGAATTATCAAAACATCCCAATTATTTATTATTATTTTTTTTGTGTGTGTATTCACAAAACTTTTACCAAATTTCGTACCATTGCGATGAAGTAAAAAAATTCTAAAAACATAACATTAGACAAAACAATGAAGTAGACAGTAATTAGTGATTCAATCCTTATTAGCACCAGATCTCAGTGTTCATACCTGAAGATGAGCAGGTGGAGATAAACGAGTACACTGAGTCGAACAACCGTGCAACTTCACAGAACGAGGCTGACATCTTTGGTCGTTTAATTTTATTATATTTCTACGGAGACCCACACATGACATGCGTGAACATTAGTTTTAGTATATAGTATATCGTGGCCATAAATTAACACAATAAAGGAACGAATTATTAAAGTGTGCTGATATATTAGTACCGTAGGAACGGTTTAAGTAAATTTAATTTAATATTTTGTTCCCTTGTTTTATTTTAAAATAACGAGGGAACGAAATATATTGTGAGCATGATTCACTTAAAACAAGGGAATTAGTAAATATGTTTGTCCGCATGTCATGTGCAGGGCTTCGTACATTTCTGCTTACTTTTCTTAATATTTTTTTTTGCAAGTGCATTCGAGACGAAGACTGAACGATGAGGTATTTCTTTCATTTGTCAAGTTTTCCTTGAGTGTTTCAGTCCACGTCGTAGTATCGCAACATTTGTCAAACCGCTATCTAAACATTGATATGTTTATATCCACTGCAAAAATATCAAGCTATTTGAAATATGACGGCAGGTTGTGTTTAATATTTTAAAAACTAATTTCACATCACAAACTAAAAACACTGACAAAAATTATTTTCCTCTGTACAAGTCGACGTCAGACCACGAGCACCAGTTTAAAATTATTAAATAATATAGATATATATAACCGAACTTAAAAATACTCATTCTGTACAAAGATACAAATATAATATACAATAAATGGCTGCTGGGTAATTGTCATAATAATAATTAAAATATTAAACTCTTATACACAAATATACACTTGTGTTTTTAGATTACAGAACCTAAGACTAACTCAAACTCGAGTTTTCATACGAATAAAATCGCACGAATGGTTCGTGTTTTTCTGACAATGCAATGTCAAAAATAACGTTCTTCCTCAGCGTTTCTGTCTCGTTTTCCAGTTTCTTAAATCAAGACACATTTACTGGAGAATAACAATGATTTAGGATATCAATGTTTCAATATTTGAACTGGAACACAAGACAAAAAAAAAAAAAGAGGAAGAACATACTTGTTTTGCGGTGTAATTTTTAAAAATGCTCAAACCTGTGTGTGTTTTAATGAGTTCCTGTGAAATCTGCCAGTGTGGCCTAAAGATTCATTCTGACTTTCATTATAAACAGAGTAAACGGCTGAGGTTTGCTGTTTCTGAACCAAGCTCAAACGGTACGAACGCAACCTTTAAAGGGGTCCTATAATGCTCCCTATTACAATATAGGTGCAAAACAGATCGTTTTTTTTATAGCATGATAGAATTGTATTTTTTGAGAGTGAGCACCGTTTTGTGTGTGGGCTCTTTAAATGCAAATGAGCTGCTGCTCCCGGTGCAGGGGGCGGAGCTTCAACAGCCCGTTGTGAGCAGAGACATATAGAGCCCTTTGATGCGAGGCGGGTTTATGTCTTATTTTAGGGTTTGTGATGTCACTAACCCGGGAGGAAGTTTGTGTAGTCCCTATCAGTCATTTGTTGTAGTCCTTAAAAAGTGATTTCACTTGCTTTAGTCCTCATTTGTAAGTCGCTTTGGACAAAGGCGTCAGCTAAATGAATGAATGTAAATGAAACATAATGAATCACCATTTAACCGGTGATGATTCTGTGGGACAGGAGGGACACACACACATGCACGCACACACACACACACAGAGCTGCTATCGTACCGGCTTCCACGGGCGTCTGAGCCACAGCGAGCCGGGACAGGGCTGGCCGTTGCACTGCTCCACATCCAGAGGTTTCTCCAGAATATCACAATTCTGCTCGCTCAATCGCTGACCGTTCAGACGCTGGCAAACCACCAGTCGAGTCCGCAAACCGCCACCACACGAGCTCGTGCACTACAGCAGAGGGAGGATATCACATTATTATTATTATTAAAAATAAATATGAAAAAATAATCCTTATTATGTAATAATGAATAAAATATTTAAAATATGATTATTGTCATTATTATTACTATTATAATAAACATTATTTTTCAAAATAATTATTTTAAAATAAATTTAAATATACAGTTATAATAATAAATAAAATAATATTATTTAAAATGTATTATTGTTATTAATATTACATTACTATAATATTATCATTCAAAATAATAATTATACTATAAATACAAATTATACATATACTATATAATACATATAATAATAATAATATAATTATAAATAATTGGAATACTAAATACAAATTCATTTAAAATAATAGTTATTAAATAAAGGAAAAATATATAAATAATAAATATAATATATCTAAATATAGTTTTATAAATATAATAATTATTATTCGTATTATTCTAGTGAATTCAATATTTAATATTTATAATTATTATTTATTTTGTCTCGTTGAGGATTATAAAATAATACACAATAGACAATAAAATAACTGTATTATAAATAACTAATAATATTTATCATTAGTACTATATTATTATACTATTATTGTTATAAAATAATACAAATAATAATAATTAAATATTGATTGAGTTGTTTATTTAAGTGTCAAATACCTTTTATGGTGCCCAGCCCTCATGGGCTTATTAAACACAACAGCTTCACACATATCACCAAAATAGCCACGTGATTTAAGACAGAATCTCCAATATAGTATAACTAAACCACAAAAATAAGTATACATACAAATAGAGATGACATACGGGAAATCATACGGGATACAGAACACTTTGCCGTAAACACCAGGCTTTTTCTATAAATTTTGTCAAAGCAAAAACATGATTAAATAAATAATAATAACAATTATTACTTGTCTATATTTAGACTTTTTGGTAGTGAATTAATAATACTTCATATTTACAATCAATATTTATCTTGACTTTAATTAATAAAATAATTATTTAGTTACAATTATTATTATTCAAAATTAATATAAATAATTTATATATATATATATATATATATATATATATTATTTTTTAATTAATTTATTTATTTATTTTTTACCTCACTAGCTACTTCAGCTGGGCGGGATTTTAATTGTTAATCATATTAAGATGAAGTCAGGATCCCCTTACATGAATATGATTTAATTAGAGTTAATTTGACTCCTCATCATTATCTTCATCAGTGAGTCTCACCTCTCCCCAGACGCCGTAGTTCCAGTGAGGACAGGGTCCCGAGTTGCAGCTCTTCGATTGGTCGGGTTTGACCCTCTCATCGCAGTGATTGGTGCTTCGGCCATCAGCGTCCTGACAGACCACGACCCGTCGCTGAGATCCGCCTTCACACGTGCTGGAACACTGAACACACACACACACACACCTGTCTGAGCAATGCACCACTAAACCAAACCACAGTTTGAATGCCCTCTCAACACATTTACTCTCAAAGTCACATTCATGTAACACGGAAACCCAGTGATGCGTCATTGATTGTGTACTATATTAGAGTGAATCTGTACCTGTAAATATACTGTTCATTAATAAACTCTCTTCGGCTCATTTTCTCACATCAATCCCAGCGGGAGGTCGACGTCACGTGACTTTCTGCATAAACTCATGTTCCTACAGCAATTTACCGTCTCTTTACAGCCTGCATTATCTTCATATGTTCAGACAAACAACACTAATAAAACCCTCACACTGTGAGTAACACACACACACATTCTGGATCTCATCCAGTCCCAGCATGCATCTGGGCTTTGGCAGCGGATCAAAGCAAATGGGCACATGTGCTAATGAAGTGAACTGAAGTCAGACGACACAAACTCTGGTGATGAGCTGAAACGTGAATGCAAACGAACAGGATGGACACGCGCTCCTCGCGTCAGCTGTTCTGCAGGAAAACCACTGACATTAATGAGGACCGTGATGTGTGTGTTGCCCTCACCGCTCCCCACGGGCCGGTCCTCCACTGGTTCTCTGCGGGGACGTTCCAGCTGTGGCTGCCGGGGTCGGGGGGAAAGTAGGGCTGGTTGTTGGGCCAGTGGTAGGAGGATTGGCAGGGCGCTGACACACACTCCTGCTCAGTGCTGGGACGCTCGTCCGGCGCACAGAACGAATCGTCCACCTGATGGTGATGGTTCATACACACAACCCGCCGCGTGGACCGACCCACACCACACGACACCGAACACTGGGGAGCACACACACCAACCAGATTTAAAACGATGGCATGGATGAATGGATGGATGGGTGGATGTGTGTGTGTGTGTCTCACCGGTGTCCACTCTCCGTCCCTCCACTGTCCACAAGGACTGAAACACACAGTAGAGTCTGCGGGTCGAGGCAGGAGAGAACAGGACGAGTCTTCAGCAACTCCACCCTGAGCATCTCTACAGCTGACGTAACGCTCACGCCGGCCCTCGCCACACGACACGGAGCACTGAACACACACAAACACACACATTTGATACATCAGGCTTTTATAGCTCATATAGTCTGAAAGTAAGGGGTGATGTATCTCAGAATAAACCCGAGATACAGGGTCCTCATCAGCCTGAAGGAGTTTATTATGAGAACACACACACACACACATGCACACCTGAAGGGGTTTATTCTGAGATAACAACCGGCTGGATGTACATTATCGGACACTTTCCACATCAGTAAATAATTAGACATGAAATATTGGTCTGAGTTTGAATATTTTAGGTCTTTAGGGCTTCGCGGAGAGAGCAGTTTCAGCGAAGAGATCAAACTAGACGGACGTTTAAGAGATCCGGTATACAGTCATAACACTGATTGCAGCATTTCAACACATACATGACGAGATAAGAGATTAAACTGTTTTAAAATTACATTCTTATATTCCAACAGTGTACAAAACAATAGTCACAAATTGGCAGCAGCTGTGTGTGTGTGTGTGTGTGTGTTACTCACAGTCGTCCATGACCCGTATCTCCACTGTGTGTGCCGTTGACCCGGTTCTGCTGGTCTTGGTGTGTTAAACACTGATGCTGAGCGAGGACAAACCGACAACTCACAGTCCTACACACACACACACACGTATGTCAGATTAATATGTAATAGATTAGGTTGTTCATTATACGTAAACTAAGTCAAAAGTTTGTAAAAAAATCCCAAGGCTGCATTTATTTGATCAAAGCTACAGTGACTACTTGTTTCTTCTGCAGAAGAAACTTATTTCAAAGACATTAACATTCATAATTATTCCCATCTTTTGCCCCGGTGTGGATGCTGTGTTTGATCACCTGACTGTCTCGAGGTCTGGCGGCCGCGTTACACTCCCTGTCGTCCAGCGTCTCACGGTACGCTCCCGACACACACCTCACCGCACGCATCTGATAGCCCTGACCACAGCTCACCGTACACTGCAAAACACCACATCACACACTCACAGCACTGGAAAATGAATTGATCGATAAAAGTGCATCTATCCATGATAAAAGTGCATCTATCCATGATAAAAGTTCATCTATCCATGATAAAAGTGCATCTATCCATGATAAAAGTTCATCCATCCATGATAAAAGTGCATCTATCATCATAAAAGTGCATCTGTCATAATAAAAGTGCATCTATCCGTCATAAAAGTGCATCTATCATCATAAAAGTCCATCTATTCATCATAAAAGTTCATCTGTCCATAATAAAAGTGCATCTATCCATCATAAAAGTGCATCTATCATAATAAAAGTGCATATATCCATCATAAACGTGCATCTATCATAATAAAAGTGCATCTATCCATCATAAAAGTTCATCTGTCCATCATAAAAGTGCATCGGTCCATGATAAAAGTGCATCTATCCATCATAAACGTGCATCTATCATAATAAAAGTGCATCTATCCATCATAAAACTGCATCTATCATAATAAAAGTTCACCTGTCCATCATAAAAGTGCATCTATCCATCATAAAAGTGCATCTATCATCATAAAAGTGAATCTATCCATCATAAAAGTGCATCTATCATAATAAAAGTGCATATATCCATCATAAAAGTGCATCTATCCATCATAAAAGTGCATCTGTCCATGATAAAAGTGCATCTGTCCATCATAAAAGTGCATCGATCCATAATAAAAGTGCATCTATCCATCATAAAAGTGCATCTGTCCATCATAAACGTGCATCTGTCCATGATAAAAGTGCATCTGTCCATCATAAAAGTGCATCGATCCATAATAAAAGTGCATCTATCCATCATAAACGTGCATCTATCATAATAAAAGTGCATCTATCATCATAAAAGTGCATCTATCATAATAAAAGTGCATATATCCATCATAAACGTGCATCTGTCCATGATAAAAGTGCATCTATCCATAATAAACGTGCATCTATCATAATAAAAGTGCATCTGTCCATCATAAAAGTGAATCTATCCATCATAAAAGTGCATCTATCATAATAAAAGTGCATCTATCCATCATAAACGTGCATCTGTCCATAATAAAAGTACATCTATCCATCATAAAAGTGCATCTATCCATCATAAAAGTGCATCTGTCCATCATAAAAGTGCATCTGTCCATCATAAAAGTGCATCTATCCATCATAAAAGTGCATCTATCATCATAAAATTGAATCTATCCATCATAAAAGTGCATCTATCATAATAAAAGTGCATCTATCCATCATAAAAGTGCATCTGTCCATCATAAAAGTGAATCTATCCATCATAAAAGTGAATCTATCCATCATAAAAGTGCATCTATCATAATAAAAGTGCATCTATCCATCATAAAAGTGCATCTATCCATCATAAAAGTGCATCTATCCATCATAAAAGTGCATCTGTCCATCATAAAACTTCAAAAACAGAAACTGACATTCACTGCCATTATATAGCTTGGAAGAGCCAGGACATTTTTTTTATATAACTCTGATTGTATTTGTCTGAAAGATTGTCATATACACCTAAGATGACTTGAGGGAGAGGGGCTAATTTTCATTTTGAAGTGAACTAATCTTTGATCAAACACACGCGACAGAGCGAGCTGGTGTGTTTCTCACCGGACTCCAGCCTCCGGTCTGCCAGGACGCACATTCGGGACGCTCACAGACGCCCAGCGCCGAGGGTTTGGTGTTCGGGTCACAGCGCTGCTCACTCAGCTGCTCGTCTCCCAGAATGCACTGCACCTGCCGGTGTCGCACGCCCTTCCCACACGTCGCCAGACACTGACGGGATAGAAGTAACGCTTCAATATAATATTTTTTAAAACGCTTTTATAGGATTCATTTGTTCTTGTTCCAGAAGCGTTTTACTTGGATATACGGCACAGTAGAGGAGAAAAGACGAGCACATCATCTGTTGATGTTTGAAAAGTGTGGTAGGAGTTCTGGGTGTCAGTACCTCACTCCACGGGCTTGCGCTCCAGTCGGGACAGGGCACGTCACTGCAGGGTTCACTCACGACTCTCTGATCATCACACTCTCGCTCCGCCAGCCGCCGGCCCAGATTGTTCATACAGAACGCCTGTCTCGTCCGAACGCCTCGTCCACAGCTCCTCGAGCACTGCGAACACAATCACAACACGTTACACAGAATCAGGAGAAACACCACATGCCAATCCACAGATCCTTGTGTTAAAGTGATCCTCCAAAAATTCATGATCGCCATGAAAAAGACTATAGATTCATGTAAAATTAGGTGGAAATAACTAAAAGTAAATATAAATAGTACCTCACATTATTTGTACTTATTGTAAGTAGTATTTATTGCTATTTGTATTTGATGTAAATATCCTCTGCGATGGTAATGTGTTTTCTACTTTGTTTTTATGACTCTTAACTGTTTTTCAAGGTGTTGATTGAATTGAATGGAAACAAATGGGGGGGGGGGGGCAATTTGACCCCGCCACACAAGACATAACAAAATGTGTACAGCCTTTCCAAAACACATCGAACCTTCAGTCTTCAGTCTCACTTCCAGCTGTAGGTTTGTAACTAATTTGCATAATGTAAGCCCCTGGTCTTGATTGGCTAGACTGGGCCATCTGACCAATCAGAGCAGAGCAGCTCTCAGAAAGGCGGGGCTTAAAGAGACTGAATCCTTGATCGATCACTTTCAGACACTGAGAGAAAAGAGCTGATGTTGCAGTGGAGATTGAGGAAATTTGACCTTGAATGCATTTTGTAGGAGAATCGAAAACAAAAGGAGCAACATTTGAAACTGCATCGGGGCACTTTAATAAGTCCGAGTATGATCTGTGTGTCACCTGAGACCAGGCGCTGTATTGCCAGCTCTTGAGCAGACAGTCTCCGTGACAGGCCTCTCGAGTCTGTGGTTTGGGCAGGTCTGCGCAGGCACGGCTCTCCACACGCTCACTCAGACTCTTGCTCTGACTGTAGCGCATACACAACACGTCCAGCGTACGGGAGCCCGGACCACACTTACTGGAGCAGTCGCTGCGGCCCGCCACGTGCCACCTGAGGACCACAGAGAAACCTGCTCAAACGTCGTCCCACAGACATCAGTGCTTCGGGATCTTCGCTTTTCTGTTGTGTTCACCGTTTTAGCCAAGAAACCCAAAAGGTTTATTTGCATTATTTGCACGTCACACTCTCCCAGCTAATTAGGTGCTGAGACCAATGTATCAAATCAAAAAGGTCTTCAATAATCTTATTTACAACTTCAAGAAATCATTTTTTACCCTGGAAGTGATGTGTGATTATATTGAATGTAAAAGCTCGATGATGATGGAGGATATTGTGATGAGCTAAAACTCTTGTGGTCAAATTCACAGAATATGGATGCACGTTGCCATCAAATTTCAAAAGGATTATACAATATTTTATATTGCTGGAGATGAGATGCAATTGTACTGACAATAACTGAAGGAATATCAGGCTTAATCACCTAGAAAGAAATTAGTCATTCCAAACCAAGGTCACCTTTGTTGATCAATTCAATATCAAATCAAACATTTAAAATGAAATTGAAAAATAAATATATTTCAGTGTTTGCAGAATATGTGCTTTCCGTTTTTCTTTTGGTTCTACACTAGAATAAGACACGGGAGTTGCTGTGTGGATGTACCTGAGTTCGCAGTCGCTATTGCAGTTCTCTGTCGCTCCTCTGGGTCGAGGAAGATACTCACACCTCTGATCCGAAACCACCAGGTGATCGCTCTTACGAACACACACCGCCTTCTGTCGCCGCTCACCTGCAGAACAACACACACATGTGAAGCGCAACAGACTTCTCTTTAAACTACAGAGAAACACCAGAGAGAGATGAGAAAGAGATGAGAAACATCAGAGAATGATGAGAAAGAGATGAGAAACACCAGAGAATGATGAGAAAGAGATGAGAAACACCAGAGAGAGATGAGAAAGAGATAAGAAACAGCAGAGAATGATGAAAAAGAGATGAGAAACATCAGAGAATGATGAGAAAGAGATGAGAAACATCTGAGAATGATGAGAAAGAGATGAGAAACACCAGAGAGAGATGAGAAAGAGATGAGAAACACCAGAGAGTGATGAGAAAGAGATTAGAAACACCAGAGAGAGATGAGAAACACCAGAGAGAGATGAGAAAGAGATTAGAAACCCCAGAGAGTGATGAGAAAGAGATGAGAAACACCAGAGAGAGATGAGAAACACCAGAGAGAGATGAGAAACACCAGAAACACCAGAGAGAGATGAGAAACCCCAGAGAGTGATGAGAAAGAGATGAGAAACACCAGAGAGAGATGAGAAACACCAGAGAGAGATGAGAAAGAGATGAGAAACCCCAGAGAGTGATGAGAAAGAGATGAGAAACACCAGAGAGAGATGAGAAACACCAGAGAGAGATGAGAAAGAGATTAGAAACCCCAGAGAGTGATGAGAAAGAGATGAGAAACACCAGAGAGAGATGAGAAACACCAGAGAGAGATGAGAAACACCAGAAACACCAGAGAGAGATGAGAAAGAGATGATAAACACCAGAGAGAGATGAGAAAGACCAGAGAGTGATGAGAAAGAGATGAGAAACACCAGAGAGGGATGAGAAAGAGATGATAAACACCAGAGAGAGATGAGAAAGAGATGAGAAACACCAGAGAGTGATGAGAAAGAGATGATAAACACCAGAGAGAGATGAGAAAGAGATGAGAAACACCAGAGAGAGATGAGAAAGAGATGAGAAACACCAAAGAGAGGTGAGAAAGATGAGAAAGAGATGAGAAACACCAGAGAGGGATGAGAAAGAGATGATAAACACCAGAGAGAGATGAGAAAGAGATGAGAAACACCAGAGAGTGATGAGAAAGAGATGATAAACACCAGAGAGAGATGAGAAAGAGATGAGAAACACCAGAGAGTGATGAGAAAGAGATGAGAACCACCACAGAGAGATGAGAAAGTGATGAGAAACACCAGAGGTAGGTATTTAAGGACATAAAACCAAAAGTGGGTGCAGGCAATAGACCCAGAAATAAAGCAGAACCTTGACACATGCGACTGCACTCCTGCCACGGGCCCGCCGGATCCCAGCCGAACTGCTCCCGCTGCTCCTCGATGGGAATACTGAAGGAATATCTGACGTCAGGATTATACAGGTTTCCCACACACAGAACCTGAGACGACAGGAAGATCACAAGCCTGTCAATCTAACTATAAGCTGACTTAAAATATAATAGAATATAACACTGATCATATTATCTTACACCATTTTAAGTATTTTACCAATTATTTACATTTTTACCAAAGCAGTGTGGTTGTAATCAGACAATAACAAATTACAGTGATGCACAAGATATTTAGATGTTTTCTGCTCTCCCCACCCTCAATGAAATCTCATTGGTCTAAATCTTTGCTGTGGTTTTGTTTCCTTTCGCTGTAAAGGTCCTTGCTCACTGAGTCCGAAATACTCGTTCGCACGTTTCAAAAGTTCCTTTCATAACTTTCGTACGTTATGAATTTTTTTGAATCAGGTTCAATTGTCTATCCGTAGAAAGCATTTTGATTGTTGTTTTGACAATTCAGAGCCACTGAATGACCAATACGAATAAACACATAGAAAACTTTTAGACTCAGTGTGCAAGGGCCTTAAGTCTTGATGCCGAATTGTGTCACAATGCACTTTTATAGTGGTTGTGTTTGGTATTTTCGACTTGCCTGCAGCACAAGCTCCTCCTCAATCCGTTGTGTGCAGTTGATCCGTTCTACTGTGGTGTTGGATCCGCTGTACTCAATCTCTGCTCCCTTAAAGCTGATTTCCCTTTTAAACATGGACACCACAAAGTTCCCGTTGAGGAGAAAGTTGGACTGACTGTCAGACAGAGCTGTAGATCAGAGGACAAAAAGGACTGACGGGTGTGTTTCCAAAAACCATCGTTAGCCAACTATGGTCGCAAGTTCCAGCGTTATCAGCAGTTCAACGAGTCGGTGTTTACAAAAACCATTCGCAAACAGCATTGCAGAGGAGTGTGTTTGAGCGACAGATCTCAAGCTGCGGTTTGAAGCAGTTTCTGTTTTCATGACGTGGACGCAATAAATCCTGACAAATAAGCAATCGGACATTCAGTGCAATCTGTATCTTTTATTTAGAATACATTCAAATTTCATTTATGTCTTTTAATTTGTCAAGAAATGTAAAGTGTTTTTGAAGAGTGAGCATGTGTGTGTCCTCCATCTTAAAAAACGCAGTTGAACGACCAATTTATGACAATATGGTTTCGGGAAACAGTCGTGACTCGCTAATGGATTTCTCCATTGATGCATCGTATGACTGTAGAGAAGCAGTGAGTTATGGCAGTGTGCGAGAAACACACACTAGTTCAGATGTCATTTGGTTTTCTGTTTTTCTGAATGTATTTGAGTGTGTGTTCTTGATTGAAGAACCATGCAAATATCCTAGCAAGTGAATATGGAAATCCTTCAGAATGTCTAGCATATATCAGAGGACCATAGTATTATCATCTGATATCATCACTGTAACACTAGTGTAATCGGGTCTGATAATGTATGAACTGAACTCACCGAGGTAGTTATCATCTTCTGGTGATCCTGAGTAGCTGACCTGCTTTATATCTATGTTGGTCGCACCAGCAGGAATCTGAACCACAACGTTATAACCTAAAATAAGAGAGTGATGAGACCAAGTTGAGAAACACCAGATAGCAATGAGAAACGAGATGATAAACACCAAAGAGAGATGAGAAAGAGATGAAAAACACCAGAGAGCGATGAGAAAGAGGTGAGAAACACCAGAGAGCGATGAGAAAGAGATGAGAAACACCAGAGAGGGTTGGAAAAGAGATGAGAAACATCAGAGAGTGATGAGAAAGAGATGAGAAACACCAGAGAGCGATGAGAAAGAGATGAGAAACACCAGAGAGGGTTGGAAAAGAGATGAGAAACATCAGAGAGTGATGAGAAAGAGATGAGAAACACCAGAGAGTGATAAGAAATGAAAAACATCAGAGAGTGACGAGAAAGAGGTGAGAAACACCAGAGAGAGACGAGAAACACCAGAGAGCGATGAGAAAGAGATGAGAAACACCAGAGAGCGATGAGAAAGAGGTGAGAAACATCAGAGAGTGACGAGAAACAAATGAGAAACACCAGAGAGTGACGAGAAACAAATGAGAAACACCAGAGAGGGTTGAGAAAGAGGTGAGAAACACCAGAGACTGACGAGAAACAAATAAGAAACACCAGAGAGCGATGAGAAAGAGATGAGAAACATCAGAGAGTGACGAGAAAGAGAGGATATAGACTACAGAGTGATGAGAAAGAGATGATATAGACTACAGAGTGATGAGAAAGAGATGAGAAACACCATAGAGAGATGAGAAAGAGATGAGAAACACCAGACTGATATTCTCACCATATTGTGCGTTGTTGAAGGTTCCAGCGATTGTCTTACATGATGAGTTGTCTCCTCCACAGACACCACACTTATCATTTCTTGCCTTTGAGTTCAAAATGTGGTCACAACCTGCTTGCTAAGATACACACAAACACCCACACACACGCACGCACATGCACAAACCTTATTAATATCATGGTATATTAATAAACTAATAATGCAACACCATGATATCAAAGTATTAGCATTTTTTCTATGTTGTTTCATACCCGACAGAGGCCTTGTACACAGATGTCATATGTGTCTGGTCCACACGGTGTTCCATCAACGACTCGATCCCTCAGCTGATAGTATGCTATCGTCCCCGTGACACGACAGAAAAGTTTACAGCGATCTTTCATCAGAACTGAGAAACAAGAGAGATAAGTAAGAGACGTGAAACAACTTAGATATTTTAGTATTATAAATGAGTTTTTAAAAAAGAAATTAATGAATTTATTTAACAAGTATGCATTAAATAGATGAAAAAGATATGAGAAACACCAGAGAGAGATGAGAAAGAGATGATAAACACCAGAGAAAGATGGGAATAAGATGAGAAACACCAGAGAGCGATGAGAAAGAGATGAGAAACACCAGAGAGAGATGAGAAAGAGATTACAAACACCAGAGAAAGATGGGAATAAGATGAGAAACACCAGAGAGTGATGAGAAAGAGATGAGAAACACCAGAGAGAGATGAGAAAGAGATGATAAACACCAGAGAAAGATGGGAATAAGATGAGAAACACCAGAGAGCGATGAGAAAGAGATGAGAAACACCAGAGAGAGATGAGAAAGAGATGAGAAACACCAGAGAAAGATGAGAAAGAGATGAGAAACACCAGAGAGAGATGAGAAAGAGATTACAAACACCAGAGAAAGATGGGAATAAGATGAGAAACCCCAGAGAGTGGTGAGAAAGAGATGAGAAAATACAGAGAGAAATGAAAAAGAGATTAGAATCCCCAGACATTAATGAGAAAGAGATGAGAAACCCCAGAGAGAGATGAGAAAGAGATGAGAAACATCAGACATTAATGAGAAAGAGATGAGAAACCCCAGAGAGAGATGAGAAAGAGATGAGAATCCCCAGACATTAATGAGAAAGAGATGAGAAACCCCAGAGAGAGATGAGAAAGAGATGAGAAACATCAGACATTAATGAGAAAGAGATGAGAAACCCCAGAGAGAGATGAGAAAGAGATGAGAAACATCAGACATTAATGAGAAAGAGATTAGAAACCCCAGAGAGAGATGAGAAAGAGATGAGAAACACCAGAGAGAGATGAGAAACATCAAACATTAATGAGAAAGAGATGAGAAACACCAGAGAGAGATGAGAACGAGATGAGAAACACTAGACATTAAGAAGAAAGAGATGATGAACACCAGAGAGAAATGAGAAAGAGACGAGAAACACCAAAGAGTGACGAGAAACAGAAGAGAAGGTGAAAAAAAGACATGAGAAGCACTAGAGAGAGACGTGAGAAACATCAGAAATACAGTATATGTTCGTAATAGTTTTATTCAGCAATGTTGCGTCAAATTGATAAAAAGTGACATTAAAGACATTAATAATGTTACAATTTTTTTAAACAAATGCTGTTCTTTTTATTCATCAAAGAGTTCTGAAAAATAATATCTATCCCAAAAATGTGAAACAGCTAACACTACAACATCGCTGATTGACTTGCATTTTTAGTTATTTAGATTACTTAGTCCTTTGGCAAAACTGCTGTATATGAAAACAGTTGAGCTCTGAATGTTAGTATCTTTAGGACACTCTCTCTCTCTGCCCTCCAAAAACATGTCAGAACATCAGAGAGTGTTTCTGATTGGCTAATGAAGTGTGGCATGTTCGTTCTGAAGTGTTTTTCTTTGACAGAGACTAATGTGATTTTTCTATTTCATCTGTCAGAGAGTAACTGTAGAGCATTCACTCCAGATAAAAGCATCTGCCAACTGTATGAATGCAGTCGAGACACTGAATGTGAGCTATTGAACAGTGTTTGTCGAGCTCAGCAGATTTGAACTGTGAAGCACCGTTGTAAGGCCAGATTATGAAAGTTTGTGTGTGTTTTTGTGTGTCCAAGTGTGCTGTAAGGCTCCTCCATCAGTCCTGAGTCTGACGGCCGTCTGCAGGTGTGTGTGTGTGTGTGTGTGTCTGCCTGAATGATATATGATATATGAATAAATGATATATTACAGCGTATTGCCCAGAATCTGCTCGTATCTGGCTTAATTGAACACACACGTGACATCACTACACATGAATGTATGAAATCCAAATTTTATAAACTGTCACGTATTGATGTGGTTCATTTCTTTTACTTTTTTTATTTCGTGTGTATGCGTGTTTGAGTGTGTGTTCTGTCAGGTCAGAGGTCAAACACACTCACTGCCGCTGTACTTCGGCACCCAGCGGACGGTTGGCGGGAGTCCGTTGATGTTGAAGTGTTTCCCGTCGAACTGCGCGCACTGCTCTTCCCTGAAGTCCCTCGGGCCCCGGGGACACGGATCCGTCTGACACGAGCGGAACCTCATCCTGCGGCCCACACAGAAACGCCCTCCGTTCCTCGGCCTGTGTGCGAGAGTGTGTTAGAGAGAATGTGATCACAAAAACGCCATACTTTCCTTGGCCTGAGGACGACATAGTGTGTGTGTGTGCTCACTCAGGTTTATTGCAGTCTCTGGTTGTGCTGCGAGTCCCTCCTCCACAGGTTCTGGAGCACACACTGTACGGCCCCCAGGGGCCCCACTCACCATGAACCGGCTTCATGTCCATCTCCTTATTCACACACATGCCGTGCCTGCAGTGCTGCAAATAGACACACACACTGGATCATGTATATCTGACAGTACAAGCTCTCGTGACTCGTCTGTGTTTGCTGTCATCGGGGTAAACGTCCAGTTTCACGCAGTAACCGAATCTCTCGCTCGAGCTGGAATGCAGGACAGGCTGGCGTCGGTCTCGCTGCGTTACGCTGGCCGTCGCTGGCTCACACACACACACACACATACGCACAGAGCTGCTGCTGCTCGATAAGGAAACCCAAGCGGATAGATAAGAGCGACAGAACTCATTACAGTCTCTCTCTCTTATGATATTCACATCGAAAACATCTTTTCTTTCAAACCTCTTATTGCATTTCTTGACTTGTTCATCACTTCATTTTTAGTGATGATATCAGATGATGATACTGTAGTACTTTATACCATGGTATTGTTTCATGTGCTTACACACACTACCAGTCAAAAGATTTTTAATGCTTTTAAAAGAAGTCTCTTCTGCTCACCAAGGCTGCGTTTATTTGATTAAAATTATAAAAAAACAGAAATATTCTGAAATATTATTGTAACGTAAATCAGCAGTTTTCTATGTGAATATATAGTAAAGTGTAATTTATTCCTGTGATCAAAGCCGGATTTTCAGCATCATTACTCTTTCAGTTTTACATTCAGTGTCACATGATCCTGCAGAAATCACTCTAATATGAGGATCTGATGCTCAAGAAACATTTATGATTATTAATAGTGTTGACAGTCATTTACATTTTTATTTCAGGATTCTTTGATGAATAGAATGTTTTATATATTTACTATATTTTTACATAGAAAAAATATTTTTTAAATCATAATAATATTTAATAACATTATTGTTTTGTATTTTTAATCAAATAAACACAGCATTGGTGAGCAGAAGAGACTTATTTTTAAAAACATTACAAATCTTACTGATTCCAAACTTGAACGGCAGTGTACAGTATATACATAAGTTCAGATTTACCATGGTACTATGATGACACATTTTGTGCCAGAAACATGATTGTAACATGGTAGTTTTTGAGGAAACTGAGGCGTCTCTCCTCAGCAACCCAATCTCCCTCTACAGGAAACAGTTATCCGGGAGAATACAGGAGTCTGGGAGATGAGCGTGAGATCCGGTGTCGCTCCTCATGACTGCTTCATTCATAACTCTGTGTGTGATATAAATCTCTGACTACAGGGCTTCTCTTTCACCTGATAACATTAAAACGTTACACAACAGCGTTCTGCTGGTATTTACAATTACAGTCATTACACAGTGAAGAGAGTTCGCTCAGAGATCCAGAGCCGAGACTCTGCTCACGAACACCGTTCCCGCGCATGAGGCGCTCGGGTCACCCTGAAGCTGGGAACGCCATACACCTCGCTCAGTAGTTTGTGTGTGTGCGTGTGCATATCACAGGTCTGGTGTGCTTTTGATTTTGTCTGACGTGATGTTACTGAGAACGAGCTAAATATGGACCGAACTGCTTCACCGCATCACACACCAGTGTTTTACACTCCAGGCCACAGATAAACACACGCAAATGCTTCTCTGGAGCAACATCACAAAAAACACATTCACACTCGACACATCGACACACTGCAACTCGACACACTGCAACTCGACACACTGCAACTCGACACACTGCATCTCGACACACTGCATCTCGACACACTGCAACTCGACACAGTGCAACTCGACACACTGCAACTCGACACACTGCATCTCGACACACTGCATCTCGACACACTGCAACTCGACTGCATCTCGACACAGAGGTGCAGTCGCACACTGCAACTCGACACACTGCATCTCGACACACTGCAACTCGACACACTGCAACTCGACACACTGCATCTCGACACACTGCAACTCGACACACTGCAACTCGACACACTGCATCTCGACACACTGCAACTCGACACACTGCATCTCGACACACTGCATCTCGACACACTGCAACTCGACACACTGCATCTCGACACTGCATCTCGACACACTGCAACTCGACACACTGCATCTCGACACACTGCAACTCGACACACTGCAACTCGACACTGCATCTCGACACACTGCAACTCGACACACTGCATCTCGACACTGCATCTCGACACACTGCAACTCGACACACTGCAACTCGACACTGCATCTCGACACACTGCAACTCGACACACTGCATCTCGACACTGCATCTCGACACACTGCAACTCGACACACTGCATCTCGACACACTGCAACTCGACACACTGCAACTCGACACACTGCAACTCGACACACTGCAACTCGACACACTGCAACTCGACACACTGCAACTCGACACACTGCAACTCGACACACTGCATCTCGACACACTGCAACTCGACACACTGCAACTCGACACACTGCAACTCGACACACTGCAACTCGACACACTGCAACTCGACACACTGCAACTCGACACACTGCAACTCGACACACTGCAACTCGACACACTACAACTCGACACACTGCAACTCGACACACTGCAACTCGACACACTGCTGATATGGAGAATGAGGACACATATACATAATCATTGGCTCACCGATCCAACGAGTAAGTGTGTGTGTGTTTGTTAGATGATTGTAAATGCTGGTATTGTAGAATAGACTCGGACCACCGGGAGACCTGAGAGCTGTCAGAGGCTGAAGCGTGTGTGTGTGTGTGTCAGTGAGTGTGTGAGTGAGTGTGTGTGTTAGATTGTAAATGCTGGGATTGTAGAATAGACCCGGACCACCGGGAGACCCGAGAGCCGTCAGACGCTGAAGCGTGTGTGTGTGTGTGAGTGAGTGAGTGAATGAGTGAGCGAGTGAGTGAGTGTATGTGCGTGTGTGTGTGCATGTGTGTGTGTGGTAGATGATTGTAAATGCTGGTATTGTAGAATAGACCCGGACCACCGGGAGACCCGTCAGAGTCTGAAGCTTTAAAGGCATTCACTCCCGCTGCCATCTTCATGTTTACAGGCTCTTTGTTAAGTTGAAAAGGTGCTGTGGGAGAGAGAGGCTTGAAAGAGGCTCACAGGAGGAAGAGAAAGAAGGAGGGGTAAAACTGAGCACACACACACACACACTTGCCATATGTATGAGCTGTTTGTTCTGCCAATAGAAGCATCTGGGCCCGTCGTGACCTTCAATTAGACTCTTGAAGGTGTGGAAACAGCCTGAGGTGTGTGTGTGTGTGTGTGTAAGAGAGAGAGAGAGAGAGAGACATGCTGAGGTGCATGTGAGCTTGTCAAGATTTGCTTTTAATTGAGAATGCAGTGAGATATTTGAAGGTCGTGTGAGAAAAACCAGCACATTTGCTGCCAACACATGTTTTCAATTTGTGACTTTCACACACACACACACAAACACACACACACATACACACCTTTTGAATGGTCAAATTTAGGTAATAAGGCATATCTAATGTAATTGAAATCATGATGAAAAATTTATGGGGCCAAAAAAACAAAAGAAAAATGATGCCCATTGTGGGCGTTGTGGGAATGTCAGCTCTACAGAAACAGAAGCGTCAGAAGTGTGTTCTTCTGTGGTGTGTTTACCGTGCCCTGTAATCGTGAACACACACCATCAGTGGAGAAACACCACAGGAAGAACACCTCTCTGTTTGTCCTCTCATTTACACACACTGGTCTCTGAAACACATTATCTCACCTCTCCGTTCGTCTTCTCATTTACACACTCGTTTCTGAAACACATCATCTAACACACAGAACTCTCACAGCTCTGGGTTAAAGGTCAAGCACTCGCACATGATTCTCATCAAACTCACTCTATTGATTTCCCTAGTTCATGTTCCTGGTCTCACGGAGTCTCACTAATGTCACAACTTTCTTTGCGTCTACTGGATGGATCAATGGATAATGGATGGATGATGGATGGATATGTATATGGATGGATAAAACGATGGATAATGGATGGATGGATGTTGCATGGAAGGATGTTGGATAGATGGATGGACAGAATGATTGATGAGTGTATGGATGGATGGATGGATGAATGATGGATGGGCGGATGGATGGATGGATGTTGGATGGATGGATGATGGATGAATGATGGATGATGGATAGAAGGATGGACAGATGGATTGATGGATGGACAGATGGATGGATGAGTTTTTTTTGGATGGACGGATGATGGATGATGTATAGATGAATGACAGATGGATGGAACAAATGACAGAACGATTGATGGACGGATGGATGGATGGAACGATTGAATGATGGACAGATGGATGGATGGATTGATGGATGGAAGGATGATGATAGAAGGATGGATGATGGATAGATGGATGGACAAATGGATGGAACAAAGGACAGAACAACTGATGATGGATGGATGGAATGATTGATTGATTGATGGACAGATGGATGGATGGATGGAACAACTGATTGATGACAGATGGATGGATGGGTGGATGATGGATGGATGGATGGATGGATAGAAGGATGGATGATGGATGGATGATGGATGGATTATGGATAGATGGATGGACAGATGGATGGAACGACTGATGGACGGATGGATGGATGGATGGATGATGGATAGATGGATGGACAGGTGGATGGGACAAAGGACAGAACAATTGATGGACAGATGGATGGAACGAAGGACAGAACAATGGATGGATGGAGCGATTGATAGACAGATGGATGGATGAATGAATGAATCGATAGAACGATGAATGGATGGACAGAAATATCATGCATCAGAATCATACAAGTATGTGATTACAAACACTTCTAGATTTCATGTCAAGCTTTTTTTGTGTCAGAAGTGATATCTCAGTGTCGCCACAAGACATCATCATCATCATCATTCTTCTTTAGTGGTCAGTTTCAGTTTCAGGGCAACTATTGCCACAACACAACAACAGTTTACAGAGACGTTTGCGAAGCACGTTAGTTCAAATAGTTTAAACTGTTTTAGTAGCTAACGGAATAATAATATAAGTTTTGTTTAATGGCAGATATTTGAATAAGTTTGTCA